ATTAGGTAATTAGAGAGGTTATAAGATTACTTACTTTATTTCGACAATTATTATTTTTTGTTGTAATATTAATTAAGATGCGTGACGTCAGAAATGTGAACAGGGCCGCCCGCGATCATCATTGTAATGCAGAGTAGGACTGTTAGCGCGTGTCGGCCCGCCTTGCTTAGGTGCGGCCGTCTATAAGTACTACACTAATATCTTACATCGTAACCTTTATAAATTTATACGTACCTCTTCGAGTTATTCAATGACTTTCAAATTTGTGTTTTTTAATCTGTTTAATTCCCGTTTTGCACCGTTACAATATAAAAAATATTGAGTGTTTTTTATTCGGTCGCGTTGGGGGCTTGAACCGCAGGTCTCTAATCACAAATACCTCGCGCTAAATAGGTTCTTTAAATTTTAATGTTATCCTACTGACGAGTATAGATCGCTCTTTTTTAATTCTTCAGTACTCTTATGTGAAAATTTCTTGAGAAAGAAAAAAAAGGAATCACAATTCAGTACTATACAGAAGTGGAATAGCGTTAATGTTTTAGAGAGAATCTATAAGATAAACTTCAAATTACGTTAAATGCACTAGAATTAGGATTAGGACCCCTTCGGTCATTTATTATTACCTGCATCCATAGTGACTAGAATTCGTTCAGATTGGAGAGATCAAATATCAATTAATGATAAGATCCCGACTAGATTGGGGGTTACAAATTAAAAACCTTGCTTCGCTGTAAAATGGTATGCATGTAAATGTAATATTAATCTAATATATAAAAATCTCGTTTCACGGTGTTGTGGTCGTACTTCTCCAAAATGGTTCGACACATTTTTATGAATTTTTGTTTGTATATTTGTTAGGTATGAGAATAGGCCGTAAAGTACAATGCGATCAAAAATCAGTTCTTATGAAATAAAACTTTAGTAACAAATTGTCGCAATACATTGATACTGCAGCAATACTACCAGTAGCAGTACAGAACTTAAAAACCAAACAAATGTTGGATCATCGACATATAATAAATGGACTGTGCGTGGTAAGCGCGGATACTGCAGGTGAGAGAGAAGGGAAAACTAAGAGGGCAAGCTGTCTCTATGGTTACGCAAATGATTGGTTCTTTCAACACAAGCGATCGCGATCGCATTCAAATCAAATTCACAGAACCAATCAGATGCGTAAACGTAAGAGACAGCTTGCCCTCTTAGTTTTCCATTCTCTCTCACTTGCAGTATCCTCGCCAGTCATTGACACGACATATGTCGATGTGTTGGATACGTCAACTGGAATAATTTCAAGAGTCTTTGAATTGTAGAGAAGAAGAAATTGAATGAAATGAGAGTTCACATGCGCAATAAACATGATTTATTTTGTATTACATTGTTACAACAAAGTGTCGGGAGCTTCCCAATAGTCGTGAGGACTTCTGCACTCCAAGATCCATACTTTTGTGAACGCCCTTTGTGAGTACCCTCTTCCGACAATCCGTTGTTGAGGTATCGTGTAAGGGAATATACCCGATCACGATAATAGGTCGAGGATTACTTACTTGCGTTGAGACCTTTCATTGGAGTACCATGAAGGAGAACCCCCCCCCCCCAAACCCGTACTTTGATCAGAGGACAGAAAGAAGGGCAGTAGTTGGTAGAAAACGGTTCCTTTCGTTGAGACCTTTAAAGAATACAATGAGATATAATATGAGAACATGTGCCCCCCCCCCC